AGAGAGAACTGCTCCTGCCTGTGCTCCCGCACTCTGAAGATGCCGGCCACAGGTGCTGGTGAAACGTTAGGAAACAAAACTTCCAGGACACGGCCACACAGCCTGGAAGACCCACAACAGCCACGGTATGCCAGCCGTGAAAGCCTTCGACAATACAGGTAACCCAATTCTTGCACCATTTGTGTGAAATATACGTTCACCATTGGTTTCAATTAAACTCTTTGACGCAGCGCTCTCTTTCGCATGCCGGTCTCGCCAGTCCTCATTTTAGCTTCATCCTCAGTCATTTCATCTCTTTCGTTTTAATTCCCTCCCCTCTGCTGGGGGCTCCCATTGAACCCTCTTCACCCACCTCCAGTTTTTTATTTCCATCAAGGTTGCTCTGCCTTTTCTCTGCTTCTTTGAACCTTGATCGTTCCCGGCTCTCTCTGACTGCCCTCCACAATTACCTTTTCCTCTCTGGACACCATTACGCTTGGTCCTTCTCTTCTGCAGCAATCGGGCTCCTCTTGCAAGTCTCCAACCCACCAACATCCTTTTCATTCTTCCCATTAGTGGAACGCCACCCGCTTCTGTGGCACCCCAAAACATCACGTTTCTCCCTCTGCTCCACGCAATTTCCTTCCACGCCTCCTCTCCGGAGATGAATCTACTTCTGGTCCTTTCCCCCCCCAGGACTCGCACCCTCTTCCGTTTTCACTTCTGTTCCTTCCTGCCAAGATCCACTCCTCCAGGCCACGGCCTGTCCCACATTCAGAACCTCTCGTCGCCTTTGCATCCTACCCTGACGCCCCCAGTCTTCCCTCAAGCACCAGCCATCAGCCCTGTTCTTTTACATACAACCCTCTGCCATGCGTACCTGTGAATGGACCTACGCTGAACCCACATACTCCAAACCCCAAAGATGCACCAAGCAATCACCGTTCTCATTCCTCTGGGGCCTCCAAATGCCCCCATCGCTCCTTCTGCACTGCCATCTCCTTCAGAATAATTTCCCCCCCCCGGTTTGCATTCTTTCAGAAAGCCACCCTGTTTTTTCCCAGACTCATCTCTGGCCCTCTTGTTGGAGTGGGGCGTAAGATGTGGGGAGACCCATCAGCTCACGGATTCCTGTTCCACACACAACCATAACACGCTCAGGCAGCGTTAGAGGCTTCCTTCAGTTACAAGCGTTCAGGAACTGAAATGTCGGAAGGATCACGCGGGTTAGCGAAAGGAGCCAGCCGTGGGTGCTAAGCTGGGCATTGTAGTTACTGAGAATATTTACGTCCTCCAGGAAGCACACCCCGTTCTCCTCTATTCCCACACTGCCACATAATCTTGCAAAGTAGGTAAGGCTGGGAGAGAAGCAACGCTCTAACCCGGTGTTTCTCAACCTTGGCCGCTTTAAGCTGTGTGGACTTCAACTCCCAGAATTCCCCAGCTGGCTGGGGAATTCTGGGAGT